AAGAGCACCCCAAACACTGTTTCCTTTTCAGTGTAAACATTCAACTTTTTTATTTTTGGAAACAGGGATTGAACTCAGGACCTTGTAATTGCTAGGCAGGCACTTAGGCCACTGAGTTATCTCCCCAGCTATGAACTATTTATTTATTTATTTATGTGTGTGTGTGGGGCCAGCTCAGCCCACCAGGTGGCGGGGCTGGCTGGCATGTGGTGCTGAGGGATTGAACCGCGGTACCTGTGCTTTGCTAAGCTTGTTCTAAGTAGGTGCTTTAGACCACTGAGCCATCTCACCAGCCCTATGAACTTATTTTTAATGCCTAAGTGCAAATCAATAGTTCACATGGGCATCACTTAAGCACCAACCATGTGACTCTCCTTGTGAGTCTTCTCATTTCTCTGCCTTAGACAATCTTCCTGAAAGCAGGTTGAGGCCTCTGTTACTCAGGGGATATCATCTGGTAGATATTAAACAATCTGCTAAAGCTGGACCAGGGTGGAATGTCCAGGCTGGACACCAGGCACTCTGAATTATAAGCATCAGATGTCTCCCATGCGATCTGCTCCCTGAGGCTTGGTGTGCCAGAGGACAACAGGGATTGACTTAGAATCAACTCGAGATTTAAGAAGATGCCCAAGATCCACCCCCATGAATGTGAACTCGTCGATCTTGAAGACTGCTAGTTGAACAGGCACCACTAGACCCAGTGTCTATGACTACGATGAACAAGTGACAGTTACTGTAGTACAGACCTTAGGGCCTGCTGTGAGTAGCAAGTTCTGCAGACAGTGAACACAAATGAGGGACTTTCAGGAAAAATGTGGGTTTCAGGAGACGGGGAAAAGCATGCTGGTGCCAGAATTCCAGGTGGCAGAAGGTCAAGGAGCTCTAAGCTAGAGAAGGGAAGGCTACAGTCAGAGCTATTTCCCAACACTGGGTCAGGCAGGACCCAAGGCACAGAGATGAGGCAAAAATGGGGATTTGAAGCTTGGGCCAATTAGATCCAAAAAAGCTGACCCAAACAGTCTCAAACAGACTTCAAAGTGTCTGCTGCAAGCCATCTGTTAAATAAGGAAAGGTCTGGCTTTGTTATTCAAAGATCAAACGTGTTCAGTGGTCATAGGCGCTTGTCCTTGGAGTGGGTCCTCCCTGCCTCCCACAGTCCAGTGCACTGCCTAGAACCAGGACAGGCACTGGACACAGGCAGGTAGGCAGCAGAAGGGCCTAGAAATCAAGGAGCTGGAGAAAATAAGAGAGTAGTGGGGAGGCTAGTGAATGCCACAGGTCAGAAAGAAGCCTTGTAGTATCCTTGAAGACTGAGTAAGATTATGAGACAGATCAAACAAGGGCAGCAAGGCTGGGGAGATAGCTTGGCAGCGTGCCTGCCTAGCAAGTGCAAGGATCTGGGTTTGATCCCCAGTACCCCATGCCATGCTGGCCCCGGAACTCTAAGTGTGCTGTGCCATCATTGAAACCAGGTGTGGTGGCACATACCTGTAATCCAAGCACTAAGAAGTCTGAGATAGGAGGATCACTACGAGTCTGAGCTGTGTAGTAAGACCTGTATCAAAAATGAAAAATACAAAACAAACAAGGATAGCATGTTTTTTCCTTTCTCAAAAACTGAATAAAGATTTTACTGAGAGACAGCAGCAGACCAGGGAACTGGGGACAGAGTTGCCTGGGTTCTCATCTTTCTGCAGGTTAGGCTGATCCCAACAGCTCTAGGGTCTCTACAATGGACTCTATATGCTCGTATCTCATTATAATGAATTTGACTCTTTGGGGACCATGAATTCCCACCATCCTCCAACTGTTTCATCCTCTGTTTTTTTTTTCCATGAGCTGCTCATCTGTTGCAAGTGCAAGGCTCACACCTGGGTGAGAAGCATAGATTTACCATGGGTTTACAGGAACTGGGCCGACAGTCTTAGAACAATTGCTTAGAGATGGGCAGTGGGGGTCAGGCATTTTTGGAATAGGATGGGAGATGGGTGGGCTTGTCTATGTATCCTTTCTCTTTGGCAGAGTAGAGAAGATTCAGATAAAGGGAGCCATCACTTTGAGGGCTATTACATTTGGGATAAACTCTTCTATGTTGGGATAAACTGTAATTCCAGTTTATGGTGGGATAAACTGTTTTACTTTCTCTGAAAAAACTCCATAAAGCTTTTCCTAAAAACGTAGCTCTACACTACAAATCATCCCTTCATCAGACCCTACAGTACTATGTTCTCAAAATCAAGCATATATCAGAATCACCTGGAGGGCCACCCTTAAGAGTATAGTAGGTCTGGGCTAGGACCAGAAGATTTGGATTCCTAACAAGTTCCTAGATCACACAAATGCTGCTAATTTGGGACCATGCTTTTGAGAATCACAACTGTTAACACATATCCTCTACTTTAAAATGTCATGATTTGAATTTTGCTAAGAAATACTCCAGAATTATTTTTTTGCATGTCAATCTATCTTCCCAGGTGGATCTCTATTCCTTTGGGACAGGTATGATTTTTTTTTTTTTTTTTTTTAGAACACATCAGTTAGGAACACACGGTAAGCTAAATACTTAAGAGAGTGGGAAGAACTTCAGAGAACTTGACATCTTCAAGCAGACAGCAGTCAACTATGGTTAAGTTTAGGGTCCCCACATTTTGTAAAACATTTTTTTTTTCTCAAATTCACACCCACAGAAAAAATTAACTTGTTTCAGCAATATCCTAAAGAAAAACTCCAGTCTTGATTTAGGAAAAAAAAAAAGAATTCATTCCTTCATCCTTCCAAACAAGGTACAGTACAACTGAACAGCAATGCATATTTCTGAAAAAGACAACTGCATCTTATATTGCTCACTATTCTTTAAGTATAATTCAGATATTAAGGAAAATAGCTGCTAATCACATTAACACATTACAGAAATCAAAATTAACTTACCACACAAAATAAATTAAGACATTAAATATTAACCTTCTCAGTGCAACATATACAGAAGTCAGAATGAGTCCTAAAAAAGCATCAGGTTTGTATAATAAAGGTAATGAAAAGTTGAACATTTTGGTAAGTTATTACAGTAGAAAGAGGGGTTTTCAGTACTCTGTGTGTGTGTTTCCACACGTGTATACCACTAGGTCTTTCAAAAAGTGAAGTTCTGTGGTTCTGGCGTTTTGAGTCATTCCTCTCCCCTTGGCTGGGTATGCTGGGAGAGCTGAAAGGCCAGAACCTAATAAGGAGCTGTGGCCTCCCAAGTAGTGTGAGAGCATCACTGGTCTACTTTTGTCCAACTGCCTGGAAGAACACCTGGAGGTCACGCGCCTTGGAAAACTGGCTTGGAGATACCAGGCAGCTTTCTATACCTGTAAAAGAACACTTCTACCCAAGAAGTTCTAAAACCATAAACCCTCCTCCTCATTAACGTGCATGGGTGTCAACCCCTCCCTTCTTAGGGCCACTGTACTCACTTTTCCTGCTGGGACACATAATCAACTCACCCCTTGCTTCTTTCCCATGCTGGGCCCTACCTTCCAGTTTGGATCTGGCTGCTGTATATCATTCTATGTAGAAAGTTTCCTGCCAGTGTGTTTAGTGTCACAGCCTGTAGGACAGCAGAGAATTCAAGCCCCATAAAAGGTTTGGAGATTTTTATAGGAAGTTATTTTTTAGATGGGGTCTTTTCAGAGACACTTACATTCTGGAAAAACATTCCCCACTGCCGCACTGTTCAGCAAGTCAGGATTCTTGAACAGTTCCCTAATCACTTGGCTTTTGGAAGGGCAAGGAAACAGGGATTTTGCAAGGATGGCTGAGATGCACTTGAAGCCTAACAGGAGCAATTTTATAGGTAACCAAAGACTTTCCCCTGCCAATAAATGGCACAGAGATCCAGTGCTTGTCTTCATATGATTTCCAAGTAGAAAATAAGGCTATGATATCCTTGGATATGGACCATAAGCCAACCAAGCCCACCTCAATCCAGCCTCAGACCCACTGGTTTCCAAAGGTTTAATCCAGAAGATATTTCTGAAGGGCACACATTTGAGTTCAGTGGATGTATAGACACAAGGAAGGGGGCACTGGCAGCCATGACTGGCTGAACCCTAGAACCAGAGAATTCACAGACACTAAATCCAGGGTCCTCTGCTTCTATCATGTGTCCATCTCCATTTTCTTGCATCTCTGCAAAGCCTCTTGGATGCCAATCACTGATAGCATTTTTAGGTGGACTCATTCACCCATAAGGTGAAGAAAAAAGCCGGTAACATTTTTTTCACAATTTTTACTCCTTTAAAAGCAATCAGATCTTCTAGGAGTCTCAAACCAGTAAAGATTGTCTTAAAGAAAAAAAAAAAAAAGTGAACTCAAGTTAAAAACACGTGACACTCCTCCATGTTCACTGGCCTCTCTAAACCAGAATCTGAGACTAGAGGGGGCTCTGCCAAGAAAGCCGAGCGCACCCTAGCGGCTAAAACCAGTGTCCATTGCTGGGTGTCTGAGCAGGAGGCTTAGCCAGACCGCAGCTCACGTACCTGCTGCTCGCAGGACTGACCCAAGGCATCCCAACTCGTGCCTACTTTAATAGTTTCAGAACCTGGGGCTACGCCAGCTGCACTGCTCGGGGCTGGCTCTGACAGGCCCGCTTTTAGTTTCTGGTGTGGCACCATTCAATAAATGCCGAAGCTAAGCCACAGATGAGATCATGGCCTTGATTGTAAGAAGCAGAAATTCACAGAAATAGAGTAGGGAAGAAGAATTAGGGGAAAGGCAAAAATTTCCAGTAAAAGCCAACTTGCCATGTGAAAGACCCTTTCAAGGCATGAAAAGTTAGAGGCATGGAAGGGCTAAGAGGCAGAAGTCTTTCATTTTTAAACATATTAGTGAGTAGTTTCTCTTCACATCAATATTTTATATATCATTTCATTGCCGTTCTGTTTCCAACTTTTAATGAAAGAATGAACTCCTGCCGATCATTTGCGGGGACCTGCTGCTTTCCACAGGCTGGAAACTGCTAAGGAGAACAACTTCTGCTCCTCTGGAGGGGAAAGCGAGAGGCTTGTTAGTGTTTTTGTCCACAAAACCGGCATTCTGAATGGAAAGGGAAGAAGAAATCCACTGGAAGATTTCTTTTAATGCTTAAAAATAAATAGGAAACTTAAATTTCTCCTTTAAAAATAAAGCAACAAACCAACCAAGCAACAAAATGCAAAATGAAGGATTGGTCCCCTTTCATGGATTTGGCCTGAAATGCCCACGGCTGGCTGCTAATGCCCAAGCTGGGCTCACAAAGAGGTCAATCCATCTCGTTACCAAGCAGTAGCGTATGCCTTGTGTTTTACCTGTGTCGCACAAGTGAACCCTCCTGTCCTCTCTCCTCAGCAGAGGGGCTAGATCCCTCCTGCTGGAGCTGCTGAATTTTCCAGCAGAATGTATCCAGGCATGTACCTGCTTTGTGTTTTTGATGGTATGACCTCTGGGCCCTGATCCTCGCTGCTACCAGAACCCCCCTCTGGATCCAGTTCCACAGCCTCCCGTTTTAGTTGTCTCGCAGAGGCTAGTCATTTCTGGTCAGTCTAGGTTTTTAGCCAGCAACACATACATCATTAGTGTTTAAGTCTGAAGGGGTGTGTGCTTCTTACACTGACTTAAAAGATTAAAAATAAAATCATTATCCATCTAATAAATAAGAAATTGCCTTTGAGGTGGTAACAACTTAGGAAGGTCTTCAACATCATGGGTCCATAGAAGATGTCACATTGGTTGAGAGTCTGGTGGTCAGAGGCCAGGGATCCCCTTAAACTAAATGACTTCATGTAACAATAAGCCACTTTTCCTTCTCTGCTTCTGACATGATACACACAGATGAGACAAAACAGCAACAACTACAGAATCTCTGGTATTAGGAAGGATTCTTTCTTGGGGAGGTGGCCTATCAAGAAGAAAGATGGCCTGGATCCAGGGCTGGCAGGAGACAACTGCACATACCTGGACTCAGACAACGCCTGACACACGCCTGACACACACCTGACGTAGGTAAACAGGAAGGCCACCCCTTTGCAATTCTTGTTCTACCAGTCTTTAAATTGTGGTCCACTGATGGCTTCTTGAGGGCAGAGCAGATAACCCCAAGCTGACAGAGTTCTGACCAATTTCTGAAGGCCCACACAACACAAAATGCTGCAAAGTGAGGATAGGCAACTGAGGAGAGTTCTGCTGGCCCATCCTGGGCAACCCTGGTGCCGTTGTCCTACAAAAGGCCTTTCTTCATTGGTTGCCACAGTCTACCTGGCCCAGTTCTTCCTCTGGCTCTTCAGACCACTGGGAAGAAAGAAAAAACAGGTTAGGCATTGTGGGTCAGACTCCTGCAATACTGGGCAAAAGAGCTTGGGACAAAGAGTTGGAGATGGCATCAGTCAATGTTACCAGTTTCTCTTGGGCAGTTACACCCAAATTCCAATTCTGCTAGTTCAACCTCAGAGGCAGCAACTTCTGGAATTGTACTTTCAATACCAGAGGATACCAGAAGGCTGATGAGAAATGAGATGAGTTGTAGCAGAAGAGACGGGAATAGGAATGGTGGGTACACCCTGTCGGAGCTAGGTGCTAACTTGGCTTGCCTGGTTCTAGCAGTTTCCTCTAAGGCTATTATAAGAATGGACCGATTACTTGTCAGTAGGTTAGCGCTAAAGGGCTCCTCTGTGGCTCACACGGTAAGGCAGCATGGACACAATCCTCAGCTCCCGAGTGGAGCTCAGCCTGGACATCTGTCTGCCTTGATCCTTCCTGTAGCGCCTCTAGAGGTGTGGAGGGAAATATCCTGGCTCGGGGTGAAGCACATCTCGGACAGGGCTCATGAGTGAGTGCCCCACTTCACCCATCCTTTAGGCCCAGCAGACCTTCCTGGTGGTCCATGAGGCTGTAGGGGCAGGCGTCACCTCAGGGAGAGGAGCTCAGCCTTGGCAGTCATCTTGGCAAGACAGACCCATTCCCTCTCAAAGCCAACTTCTCAGTATGGGGGCAGAAGTGACATTAACAAGAAACTTTACCCAAGTGTTCTGCTGAGACTCAAACACATACTTTAAAACCTGCTACATATTTTGTTGAAATATTTAAACACCTTACTCCTGGTGTTACAAGAAAAAACATTTACCTTTGTTAGCTCTATAGAGAATCCCTCAAGGTAGTGAAAGAGAAAAGTGAGTGGGGCCTTCTGAGGTCCTGATTATCCCCTTCGGGGATTTTTTTTTTTGGTATGTGTTCATTTTTTTTTTTTTTGACATCAGTTATTTTATTTTAAAGAAAAAAATAAAAACAATGGTACAAAATCTCAAAACAAGATTTTAGGAGAGTAACAATGGTTAGTACCTTGTGTATTGTTACTGCCAAAGTAGTTTCTCATATTACAAGATATAGGCAAGAAATAATAAATAAACAACATAGGTACAAACCTTTTT